CAGTTAATAATAACGTGTCTGCTTTCTCGATCAGGCGGATTAAAAACGAGGCATTGAAAACTAAGTACACTCTGTGAAAAGTAGTCAACAATTCGATTATATTACTTTATAATTTGTTGCTGCATATAATATTATTATCGTTGACATTCTCTTTCAGTTCTTATTAAAAATTTATTTTTATACACATAATTATAATTTTATACATATGTTTACACATATATTTATTTCACATATATACTGTCCTTCTCTTTCATTATTTTTAAATTGTGTTTTGTATTGTCACACAATATATTTTTTCAAATTAAATTAAAACACATTTCTGCAAATCGGGCAAGTAGATTTTTGACTTGTATTGAACCATTTATACTGAAATAAAAAAACAACATATCTAATAATGTTAAATAAATTTCCTAAAATTAATAATATATGCTTACCAAGCAGAGAGTGTGAAATTTCTTACGACAAGTATGGCATGACAATTTTGGTATTTGATATGTGTTAATATGGAAAATACTAAAGCATATGTAACACTCTTCAACGCCTGCAAATTTCTTATCCAAATTACGTTTCCACATTATGAGACCATCCCAAACAGAACCATTCTGTAAGAGAAAAAAAATATTATTTCGATATATTGTTAAATTTCTGTCAGTTGAAAAATAGATTTTATTTTTGTCAAAAAGAAAACATCACAATATGCATGAAAAAAATATCTGGATACAATTAGAATATATACACACATACATATGTATGCATAAAATCTAAATGGTTTAAAATAATCTTACAAATTAAAATAATATAAAAATTTGGTATGCTCCGGTTTCCTTAGAATGCAAAAAATTTGATTAATTAAAAATAAAATAATAGTATATAAAATTAAATTATTATAAAAAAATCTTTTGAGTATAATATCAGTTTCACAAATATAAAAATACTTTTATGACAAAACTCTTTGGGCAAATGTTAGATAATTAACTTACTTACAAATAACGAATCACTTTCCTTTTGATCTATGTGAAGTTAGCCCCATACTTTTTGAATTTTGAATTTTTATTGTGCTGTACTGTGTTGCGTTTGTGACAATTCATGCTGTGAACCGCAGCTTAATAATTTAAATTATATTTCAGAAAATTAAAACAAAACGAAATTTGTGTCAGCCATGCACTTTTTGAATTTCATATTTTTATTATTTTTGCTGCATTATGCTATGTTTGTGCCGATTTGTACTACAAACGCAAAGTCAATAACTGAATAAGTTAAGAGATTAATAATAAGGCACTAATGTGAAAACACAAATTTGAATATTCGCGAGCGATTAAAAACCAGATGCAGGATGATCGTGCGCCAGTTTCACAGAAAATTATTCTTCTAAAACTGATTAGATTATGCATAGGACACAAATTTTTCTTACTCCTATTCAAGGATATATGTATATATAAATCTCAATTCGAAATTTAATTTTAATAATTTCTTATCCCCCTGAAGAAGCGAGAAAAATATCGGGATGAAGTCGCTGAATCGGAAATCGAACTAAAGTCTTTCGCTTGCCGGGCGACTGCTCTTACCATTGAGTTATTCAGACCTCACATTCCCATACTTTTCATTTTGTCTACAGATATCTATCAGTAATAACACTATCTTTCAGCCTACATAAACAAGTTAACAGATTAATAAGGCTCTATTGTTAAAACACCAAACAAATTATAAACATTTTATAATAAAAATCCAAGGGATTTAAATCAGGAGACGTGTAGATCATGCAAGTGATGAATAGAAAGATAAGTTATGAGACGTCTATACGAGACATGTTGTTTATCGCAAATAAAAAAATTTTTATAATCTGGAAAAAAATGTATCTGGATCCGTGTTTATATAACTTTTTTATTCTTACGATGAGTAGAATATACTTTTAAAGTTTGACCATCTATTTCTGAAACATCCTATACATACACACGCACGCACACACACACACACAGGTTGAGGCATTTAAAATGTTATAAGCTGTTATCTTTGAAAGTACGCATTATAGCACAAATGTGTTAGATGAAAGTGGTTTGATTCAAAAAAAGGAAAAAAGATAGGAATATTAATTTGACCTTGGGTATAAGTGCTAAAGTTATGTAAAGATCAACTTAGTTTTCTCAATGAAATCACTCTAATCTCTTTTATATAAATCGATTACTCGCAATAATCGACGTAAAAAGTTATCTGGGATCTCAAATAGGATATCCAAAATTGAATTTTGTACAAAACCGCTAAAGCCATCTATAGGAAAACGGCGGAAGCAAAGTTGTACACCTAATATTTCCTAGTTTATGTAAAATTATGTCAAATTAAAGTATAAAATATGATGTAAAAACTATTAAATTTTTGGTCATCCTACCTCTATAACTTTTTACGCCAAATATTGCGAGGGATCGATTTATGTATACAAATTAGGATGGTTCCATTTTAAAAAATGAAGATTTTAAAATAATCTATTGAAATAATCGATCTTCATCTAAGATCAAATCAATAGCACTATCTTATGTACCCCTCAAAGTCACAAAACTTTTATACAAAAATTTTTTTGTAAAAGGCGCAAAAAAAAGGATATTTAGATGGGGCAATTAAAATGGGATACCCTGTATATATATATATCATATATATATATAATATATATATAATATATATATATATATACTATATGTATATATATACAGGGTGACCCGCAATGACCGCCCATTAAATACATAGCGTTATTTCTTACCAAAAACTGAGTCGAAAAGTCGTGAACCATTTTTCTTTTATAACGCTTAATAAAGGAGTTATTATTGAGTAAAGTCTGGCCAATTAGCGCCGACTTTTAGTCAGGCGCACGTCGGTGAGCTGCGCGCTTGTTAGTGTGCGCAAGCGCTCCGTCGCTACGGCGGCGCGGCGACAATTTTCCTTCGCGCATGCCGCTAGCGTGCAATATTTATACGCATCGTAATAATAGAAATAATTTTTTCTTGTACTAAAAATCATATTCATATAAAATATAAAATAACTCAAAAAATATTTAATGAAAAAATACTTTGATATGGTATTTTGAAAAGGTCTCAAGAAGGGCTATAAGAATATGCGATAAAAAATAAGAGTTTCCATTAAACAAATAAAGTTGACCTTGAAATGATCTTAAAAACCGTCACCTACAAACATTCCTATAACATGAACTTATGTCCCCCTTGAAATACTGCAACTTTTATTTGAAACATTTTTGTCTAGAAACAATGATTTTGGAGATAACAATTTGTCACGCTTTATTTTGTCCACCCTGTAAAAATACTGCAAGAAAAAATTATTTCTATTATTACGATGCATAAGAATATTCTAGCTGGCGGCGGAACGCTCACGCACACTACCAGGAGCGCGGCTCACTGTGTCCGGCTAAAGGTCGGTGCTGATTGGCCTGACTTTACTCAATAATAACTTCTTTATTAAGCGTTATAAAAAAAAATGGTTCAAGATTTTTCGTCTCAGTTTTTGGTAAGAAATAACGCTATGTACTTAGTGGGCGGTCATTGCGGGTCACCCTATATATACAGGGTATCTCTAAAGTCTGACCTCACCCCTGGATCTCGGAAATGGTTTTAAATATGAAAAAATGTTTCAGACAAAAGTTGTAGGATATTGAGGGGGACACATGATAAAAATTATGGACTTGACCTTGAGTGACCTATTGAAGGTCAGGTGAAGCTCATCGATGTTTTCTTAAATGGAACCCTCCCATTTTTATTGCATATTCTTATAGCCCTCGTCGAGACGTTTTCAAAACACTACCTATTTTTGTTTTTTGCGCAAGTCATTCCCAAGATATGAAGCTTCAATGTTGACATACCGCCGGCATTCGCATTATCCAAGGTGTACCGCGTGGAGGTTGCACGGTCGGATTTACGCCTCTTGTGTGTGTGTGCGTGCGTGTGTGTGCGTGCGCGCGCGCGTGTGTGTCACAGTAGAAATAAGGACCCCACGGTTCGTCACTCCCGTAGTATTTTTTTACTCCAAACCCTCTCCACTGTGTGTGTGTGTGTGTGTTGTGGCCCTAAAAAGGACCAATTTTGTGCGTAATGTGTTTCTTCAGTCAAAATTCTCTCCCCCCCCTCTCTCTCTCTCTCTCACTGTCTCTCTCCACCATTCTTCTTCTCCTTCCCCTTACATTAGTTATTTTCTTGCCGTTATTGCAGAAGATGCTCAAAATGAGCACCATTAACTTCCATGCAGTGAAACAAGCGATCGTGAAACTCTCTCCTTACATTCTGAAATGTTTGAGGAGGAATGTCTCTACAAGCTACAACTATCCTATTTCGGAGTTCCTCGATTGTACCTGGAAGCGTTCCGAAAACTACCGATTTTAAATAACCCCACAAGAAGAAATCGTTGGGGGCTAAATCGGAAGACCGTGGGGGCTATTCAATCGAACCCCTCCTCCCGATCCACCTGTTTGGATAATTTTCGTCTAAATAATTGCGCACGTCACGATGATAGTGTGCAGGACAGCCGTCCTGTTGAAAATGGATGTTATCTACATCGAATTCTAATTGGCCATCCTCACCAACAGCGTTCTCAACAACTTGAGTTGTCAAAGGATCAATGACGTCTCGCAGCAATAGTAAATAAAGTTCGCCTGTTAAATTTTCATTGATGAACAAAGGTCCAATTACGTAGTTACCTAAAATGCTGGCCCAAACATTTAACTTCTGAAGCCGTTGCGTAGGTCCCTCTCTATAAACGTGCGGGTTGAAATCGGACCAATACCTAACATTATGCTTGTTTACCTCATCGCTTAAATAAAAAGTACTTTTGTCACTAAAGCAAAGATTTTTTTAAATAGTGTTCATTCTGTGCAATGAGCGTGGTCATTATTTTACAAAACTGAATACGGCGATCAAAGTCGCCATCTCCAAGCTCATGTTTTATTTGCATTTTGTAAGGATGAAATTTATGTTTTTTTAGAATTTTACCGATTGTGCTGCACGGGATGTTACTTTCATTATGTAATTCGGCTATGGATTGTTGGGAATTTTCTGTAACACGACCAATAATTTCAATAACTGTATTCTCGTCGACTTTAAGTCTGCCGCTACGTGGTCGGTCTTTAACACTCTCAGTTTCGCGAAATTTGGTCACCAAGTTGGAGACGTACTTATGGTCAATAGGACGATCAGGAAAGAGTTCATTAAAACGCCTCGCGGTTGCGCGATATGAGCGGCCACACTCCCCATAAAGAAAAATAATTTCCACCTTATCCTCCTTAGATCGCGACATAATTCAATACTTAATTTATTTAGAAAAATTTAATTTATTTCAGAAAAAAAATTACAATCTTCTTTCAGTTTTTAAAAAACCTGTTGCTGAGAAAGGAATTTTCCTAAAAAGAAGGCCTTTTCGCTCTATTTTTGTTGTTGTAGTGAGCGATTCCAAGAAAAAGAGTGAGGGTTCGCCCACTTACATTAGTTATTTTCGTATCCCACCTTACTTTGTCATTTTTCTCCTCAAACATTTCAGAATGTAAGGAGAGAGTTTCACGATCGTTTGTTTCACTGCATGGAAGTTAATGGTGCTCATTTTGAGCATCTTCTGT